TCCTTATCTATCTGCAGTTATATTTTTCCTGACGTTATCTACTTCAGGGAAATTCAGATCTTTTAAAGAAAAAAGTGATAGTACTAAAGTTACTATATTGAGACTTTAATTTGTAAGGAATATTACAATATTCAGGCTTCAGAAACATTCTCATCTTTAAATTTAACTGTATGCTTGATTAGTTTAATCTCAATATGCATTTAACATATATTGTGTTTGCATATATATTTAACACAGCAATATTATATATATGAAATATAGTAGTACATAATCACATCTGTTCAACATGTATACATTAAGTATATAATGTCTTCTCAAAAGGCCTTATGATTTTTAGAATAATGTATTCAGTATTCAGTCTTTTGATTATTTTCTATATTTCTTCTAAGATCGAATTACTTCTTTGGCTCCACTCTCTACCTCCCCCCCCGCCCCCCGCATTGAAATAGCCCTTACAGTGATTGCTTAGGAATCATACCCTTTCCTTCAAATGATTCAGTTTATCTACAGATAGACTTCTGTAATTATACTTAATAATATATTTTAAAAACTTTCAACTCACCTTATGATACTGTCTCCTTTATCCAATCACTTCTAAGAATACTTCTTGAATTTTTTTATTGGCATTATACCAGATTATAACTCTGTTTACTTAATAGAATTCTAGCCTTCACTGCACATGGATGGGTCTCTTTGAAGCACACTTTTCAGTAATGAAAACACACTGATTTTTTCCCCTTTTCATAGCCTTTTTCTTTTATTACTATATTGATCTTTCAATATCTTGGACCTTTAAATCCTATATTTTTATATCATGGGTAATTCATTTGTTTTCTAGCCTAAGACACCTAATCAATCTTTACCCTATTACAGCATTTCAACATTGTTCCTGTTCTTTTGACTTAGAAGTAGTTATTCTCAGTAGGTATTGCTCAGGGATATCATTTTCAATCCCTGCTTCCTAAATCTCAAATAATCCCTTAGGATTCTTTTTTCCTTTTTCATAGTTACCTCCTTTTATCAGGTTTTGTTCAGGTAATGTACTTGAAATGAAGCAAACACTTTATCAGTTCTGGTTAGTTGTTTCTTTATTTCTTTAAAGATTTGACTCAGTAGAAAGACAAAGAAGGAAAAAAAATACAGTTGTAATACTTTTTAACTAGGCTAGAAGATTGGGGAACTGCTTTTAAACCCTAAGGGATAATAATTCTTTTTATAGTCAGAGAAGCATCTGTCTTTCTAAGTCATTCTAAGAAAGAACCTGCTTTTAGAAGAGGCAACTACTGATCCTCATTTATTTCCTTTAGAAAATATTCTGCAGTTTATTCTCTCCCGAGTGTAAGTATTATAGCAATGAATGTGTTTGTGTATAATTTTTTTTACTAATTTTACACCAAATCAAAGTAGCTTTGAATAATATATTTCAAAATCTTCCTGTTTTTGTTCTATACTTTGTTGTTTGTTATGCCAAAAATTTAGTATAATTTGATCTCATACTCATTAACGACACAGTAAATAATTATTTTTCATAACCATAATATACTTAGTCTTCTTTTAGAGGAGGTTTTTTAAAAGTTGACATTTGTTATCAAAATCTTTTCACTGTTCTTATTCAAGTTGTTCTTATGGATTCTACTTTGAAAAAGTTAAAGCAAAAGGAAATCGAACTATGATGGAATGTTTTAAAATAAGAAACACTGTGCAAAGCTAAAAAAAATAGGAACTAATGAAAATTCATTAAAAGGTTATTGCTTTGGAAATCCAACTGACGCTTTCCTTTTTCAGTTAAGCTACTAGCAGAGATGTCTTCTTTTTCTTTGATGATGCCCATTGTTCCATACAGAAGAACTGAAGGGGCTTAATGTAATCATTTAATCTGTTTCCACCTCCCTCAATCCCATTTCTCATTGTAGATATAAATGGCATGTCAATAGATTTATATGTGTGTGTGTGTGTGTGTGTGTGTGTGTGTGTGTGTGTGTGCATGGCTTAGATAAGGTTATTTAGTTAATAAAAGTTAAGAATTAAGTTATGGATTAAATCTGGTGGAGATCTTTAAAATGCAAAATTCTAGTACCCATATGAAACTACCAGAAAATTAAAATAGTTTTAAGATTAAAAAGTTATGTTTATTTGGTATTTGTGGTAGGCTTAATATATAAACACACATTGTCAATGATAGCCCAAATATAATCTAAATTCTTAAAGTTGTAATAGTCAATCATATTCATTTTAATAAAATTTTATGCAGAATGTGGTTATTTCTATGTCAGGGTTTATTACTATTAGAAAACTGCCTTGATGATTTTATTATTTTTGTTTTATTCCCTCAGTTATGAAATATACACTTAATGTTTACAATTAAATACCTCCTAGTATCAAGGAATCTTTCTGGCTTTACATTTCCTGATTTGAAAATCCCATATGTGATTACTTGTTTGATGTTGTAATCTGTGCCTATAATCACAATGTGGGAGTTGGAAAGGAAGATTTGTACTTTGAGATCAGTTTAGGTACTATAAAGGGAGAGAAAACAAAACAACTATAGAAATAAGATTTTTTTCATTAAGCATTAATTTCATGTTATGTGCTATTTAGTGACTAGTTTTATCCCTGTTGAATGAAGCAAATAATATCAGCCATTAGATATCACTTCCTCTCTCGAATGGTGACACACACCTGTACATCAACACTAAGGAGGCAAGAAAGGAAGATCTTGAGTTCAGGTCTAGCCCGGGTTAGACCTGTCTCAAAATTATAAAAATTAAAATTAAAATGAAGAACAGCAACACAACAAAACCTATTAATACAAGGAATAAGAAAACAAAAAATTATTATACTTTTCCATTTTGGAAAGTTATAGTAGTTGTATCACATTAAAAATAACAGGTTTTATTTAAACCTTGGGAATAATTTTGTGTGTATCAGTACTGAAGGCTAGTCTTCTAATCCTGAAATGTGGCAATGTTTATTTTAATGTGCTTTTTGTGTTGTAATGTGTTTTTCTAAGAATTATCTTATTTAATGAAGGCCACTAAGTTTTTGATTGATGTTTTTCTACTTTTTTGAGTTGGAAACGAAGATAATATAAAATGTACGAATAAGACATCTTATTAATATAGCCTTATCTTTAAACTCTGACATGGTTAATGTTTTAGTATATTCCACTTTATTCTCTGAGAAGTGATTGCTTCCATATTTTTTTTTTCCTTATGGACATATTAGCTTAATTATGGCTGCTACCTAAATTTGTAGGCTTTAAATAATAGACATTTTTTTTTTTCTTGAGCAGTATTGGAGTTAGAAATTAGAAGTTAGAAATTGTTGGGCTGTTTTCAGGATTCTACCTAATCTTGGTGCTTTAGGGAAGAAACTGTTTCTTGACCCTTCTACTTCTGTTACTCTCGCTTTCCTTGGTGAGTGTATGGGTCATTCACCATTCATCCTTCCTTGGTCACATTGCCTTCTTTTCCTTTCTCCAAGTGTAGTGCTCTTTGCCTCTATGATATATGGCATTTCTTTCTCTGCCCTGTAGCCTCCAGAATAAACTATAAGTTCTTCATTTTCAAGATCCGAAGGAAGTGTTCAGAAACATTGGAGTAAGGAAGCATTGGAATCTATGTTTAGTTCTTGAAAATTCAACCACTCAGGGATTTTCGAACATTTGGCACCTTTCTTATCTCACTTAATAAATGAATCATACAGCTCTTCTGTAATCAAATAAAGCATGAATGTGAAAGTCTTTTCTAATTTATAAAGTTTTACACATATTTAATTTTCAGGAATTATGAATGCTTGAGTTTTTTGTATTAACAGAGATAGACTGAAGAATGTTCTCTCAATGCCTTAGATCCTAATTTCGCTTTTAATCTCAATCTGCTTTTAGAAAATGTAGTGGAAAATGCAACAATGAGAAGTACAAGTCGTTATGTTGAAAACGAACTTTACAACTTTGGTGGGAGGGCGGGGAGGATGGGGAGAGGGGACAGGGGGAGGATGGGAAGGGATGGGAAGGGGAAACAAAGGAGGAGGCTACAATGCTTGATAAGAAATGTACTGATTATCTTGCCCTCTGTACAGTATTTTCACATTAAAAATAAATAAAAATTAAAAAAAATTTCCAGCATTAAAAAAAACAACCCTACAATCTTAATCACTGGAAAAAAATCTCTTTCCATGTCTGTGTAAATTAAAAATCTGATATATAGGCTAAATCTATCATGGTGGTTTCAGTAAAACTTTTTATTTTGAATTTTTCTTTTGCTATTGAAAACGATAAGCATATAAGGATGGTTAATAAAAAATATTTCATTTTATATAGTAGAGGATTTTTAGTAAAAGAAGTTCAGAATTGGTGGGAAAATTTCCAGTCATAGAAATTCCTAGAGAATCATAATGTATTTTTCTAAGAATTATCTTATTTAATGAAGGCCACTTCATTAAATTCAAGCTGTAATTATATTTTATTAATAGTCAATGAGAAATCAATGTCCTTAAAATTTAGATACATTATTTTCTGTTTTCTTTTTTCTATCTTTGTGTGTGTGTGTATGCACACATGCGTGCACATACACACACACACACACACACACACACACACACACACACACACACACACACAGTATGCTGATCTTGGGACTTGAAGTAGGGGCCTACTTTCTGTCCTAGAGGGCTTTTGTTTTTCAAGACTCTATCACTTGAGCCACATCTCCACTTATGGCTTTTTGGGGAGAATTTTTTTGGAGCTAGGAGTCTCACAGACTTTCTTGCCCAATCTGACTTCAACGTACAGTCCTTAGATCTTAGCCTCCTCAGTAGGGAGGATTACAGGCATGAGCCACCAACACCCATCCTCCATTGCATATGTTCTTCGTGGACACACAGTGGCATGTTGATTTGGATTCTTCACTTCTTCCTTTCTTAATATTTCTATGCTCATTATGAGCTGTGTTAGAATTCTTCAATCACTTTGTAGCAATAATATCTTATTCTCTTTTTAGGTGGTGATCACAAGTAAAAGTGGGGAGATCCTGTATCGTATTTCACCATGGGCAAAATATGTGGTTCGTGACGATGGTAATGTGAATTATGATTGGATATACTGGGACCCTGAGCACCCACATAAAGTAAGAACAACAAATCTTTTTTTTTTCTCCTTTTTTCTTTTTGTCGGTCGTGGGGCTTTAACTCTGGGCCTGGGTATTCTTCAGCTCAAAGCTAGGGCTATACCACTTGAGCCACAGCACTACTTCCGGTTTTCTGCTGGTTAATTGGAGAGAAGAGTCTCAGACTTTCTTGTCCATGTTGGCTTTGAACCGTGATTCTCAGATCTCAGCCTCCTGAGTAAATAGGATTACAGGCATGAACCACCAGCGCCCTGCAACATATCTTTAAATAAATGTGTTTTCCACTATTTCTAGGAAAATAAATTTTTACTTTGTAATCTTAAAAGTGTTGTTAAATCTCTCTCCTCACCACTGGTTTACTTCTTTACATCCTAGTGTTCCTCTTATATGCATATCTATGTTTGTCATTGGTAGCCAGTGAAATACAGAAGTAAGCAAGTAAGCTTTTGTTTTAACATGTGTTTGAGGAGAGGGAAAACATAGCAAATTTCTACATACTCTTCTATAAGAAGTGATTTTTTTTGTTTTTCCCTTGAATTCAGGACCTAGATGCTGTCCCTAAGTGCTTTTGCTGGACTAGTATTCTAGCATGACTCATAGCTACACTTCCCACTTTTTTTAGTAGCTAATTATAGAGGAGTCTCAGACTTTCTTGGCAGCTGGTTTCAAACCATAATCCTCACATCTTTGCCTCCTAAGTAGCTAGAATTACAGGAACGAGCAACAAGTGCCCTGCTGACTAATTTGCTTTTTTAAGCTACCGTCTCTGATTTATCAGATTTTCAACACAGTAATATTTCTTACTATCATAATTCTGAAGCAAGAGCAGTGTCCACAGGAAAGGAAATTTGGATGGCTATCTCATAAATGAATTAATTGGAACTTTTATGACTGTGTTGTTACAAAATGTGGTATGTGTCCTAGAAGTCATGTTTTGGTCTTAAAAATTGTTGGAGCTCATTAAAAGATGTTTTCAGTCTGATAGTTATTAATGCGTTTCTTTTCCTTTAAAACTTATTCTAAAGAACAAAACAAAACAGAACCAATAGAACCTCTTCAATAATAATACATGAACACTGCATGTTTTCTTTTAAAACATCCATTAAAAACCCCTAAAACAAATTTTTTGAATATTTAATTTCTTTTTTTAATTCTAAGTTTAATTTTATATTCTGCAGTTTCAGCATTCTAGACCAAAGAAGCCAAAAAGTCTCAGAATTTATGAATCTCATGTGGGAATATCTTCTCATGAAGGAAAAATAGCTTCTTACAAACATTTTACATGCAATGTACTACCAAGAATCAAAGAGCTTGGTAAGTAATAACTGTGATTTTTATTCAGATAAAAATTTAATGAGTCTCTTCTTCTATTAGAAAAGCTAATTACAAATGTCTCTTTTTTTGTTAAGAGATTAAATATGTAATAGAAATGCATTTTATTTTAGGCTTCTCAAATTACTCTGTAATAGCGATAGCATAGAAAAGAGAAATGGATTAAGATAGAGCATAAAAATTCAAGATATTATTCCAATTTCAATTTTAAGTAATATGAACTGATGGCTTCTAAAATTGTAGATAAATATATAAGCATAATTACTTTTCTACAGAAGATAACTTTTACTAATCAAAGTGGCCATTGATTATAGCCTGTTCATTTTAGTGGCGTAGAGAAGAAGCCGTATATTTGTAAGATATCTGGGACTCATTTTCAAACTGCGTCATTGTTTAGATCTGGATGACTTACTTAACAGACATTTATAGACAATCTTCAATATTAGGCATATAGTGAGAAAAAGTCATGTGTTAGAGTGTAATGATATAGAATCTGTTCTCATCAGAATAATCAGGAGAATAAATAGTATATTGATGAATTGTTGATTCAGAACATATTTTGTTATTTTTCTTTTTATAGTTAAAATTTCCAACAGCACATTTTTGTGTCTGCTTCAAAGTCTAGGCAGGCAGATGAAATACATTCAACTATATTACTTCTGCCAAGGGGCTCATGTTTTGGTTAGAGGATAGTTTAGCTTAGTGTTCTTAGAAAGTGATTGAATCCAATTAGGATTAATTATATAAAAGTTAATATTGAAAATACAAAAGTGTGTTTTATCATAAGAATATATATTGTGCAATAAAAACTAAGTTCTAAATTTTATGATATACTTGATTTATGTAATATGAACAAGATTCTGTAGCAATATTTCTATTTGTGTCAATAGAATTAACGTAAACTATTTTACAATAAAGTAGCAATTACTAGTAACTTCTCACTAGATAATAAAGAATATATTCTCCCCTTTAAAAGAATAAATCACTAATTCAGAGTATGAATTTGTAATTGTTCCAGTATTAGTAGTGCACTGAAGCTTGGGTATATGGAACTATAAAATAAGAACCAAAGCCAGGTGCTGGTGGCTCACTCCTGTAATCCTGACTACTCAGGAGGCTGAGATCTGAGGATTGTGGTTCAAAGCCAGCCCAGGCAGGAAAGTCCATGAGACTTTTATCTCCAATAAACCACTGGAAAACCGGAATTGGTGCTGTGGCTCAAGAGCTGGGGAAGAGAGCTCGCCTTGAGCCCAGGGACAAGCGCCCAAGCTCAGAGTTCAAGCCCCACGACCAAAAAAAAAAGAAAGGAAAGAAGGAAGGAAGAAATTTGCCACTTTTGTTTGCTTACAAGTATATTTATATATTTAAGTAAATTGAAGAACTTATGAATCATGTAAACCTTATGAATCATGAAGCTTATATGAATGTGTCATTGAAACAGAATATTAAAGATGTTTTTTCAAATAATTTTCAAATATTTCAAATGTATAACTCTCTATAATTTATCTGTCTATAATTTATGATTCAATGTTGTATATTTTAAAAATGCATTACTTGCTTTTTGCCTCACTTTCTTTAGTGTTAGAGCAAAATATATTTGGATAGAGAAAGGGTGGTGATATATGTGTATGTGTATCTCTGTGCACACATTCAACTTCAGAGCAATTTTATAGGTGCAAAACAAAGGGGAAACTGGAAACATTAATACAGACTGTAGGAGGCTATTTGCGTAAAATGAATGAAGTGGGATTTCTTGTGTTATATGGTAAAAATGACTGACATATGAACAAAATAGGCCTTATGTTATAGGATCTGTTTTATTTTTTCTATTCTTCACTATGGATATTACAAGTATAAGTGAAGTTTTAGCATATGCAGATTTCCATCTTTAATATTCTGAAGCCAAATTAAGTGTAAATTTACATATCGTTTATTGCTTGTTAAAAGGAAGACATTTCAAATAGCTAGTCAGACTGTAACTCTAAAAGACTAAATGTCCAATTTTGTGTTAGAAGGTCAGACATGTAAATGCTGTTAAGCCGTAGAACTTTTCAAACTAATCAGAGCTTTTGCTTGTTAGGTTTATGTCTTTAGAACATGCTTTTTTCCCATTACTTTTTTACAGTGTGACTTTGATTTTTGCCCATACAGGATACAATTGCATTCAATTGATGGCTATCATGGAACATGCGTATTATGCCAGTTTTGGGTATCAAATAACAAGCTTTTTTGCAGCTTCCAGGTAAAATACAAGTCTTTAATTATATTGATTTTATTTTGACCAAAAGTGTAAATAAAATGAATTTTAACATTTTACATATTATTTTGTATCCCATTTTATGTCTAATAAACTCAATAGAAGCTAGATTTTTTTTATTGTAAAGATACTGTACAGAGGGGTTATAGTTACATGAGTAAGGTAATAAGTACATTTCCTATCAAGCATTGTTATCTCCTCCTTTGTTTTTCCCCTACCATCCCTTCCTTTCCACCTCCCCAACTCCTCCCACCACCCCTGAAATTATAAAGTTTGTTTTCAATACAGTGTCTTGTACATCTCATTATTACAATGGCTCAACCTGTATCCTTGTTTCAGCATTTTGTTATTTCCCTTCTTCTCCCCTAATTAGAAAAATGTGTATACAAGATTAGGGCACAGGACTGGGAAGGTGGCTCAGTGGTAGAGCGCTTGCCTTGCATGCATGAGGCCCTGGGTTTGATTCCTCAGCACCACATAAGCAGAAAAAAAAAAAAAGCTGGAAGTGGTGCTGTGGCTCAAGTGGTAGAGTGCTAGCCTTGAGCTGAAGAGCTGAGGGACAGTGCCCAGGCCCAGAGTTCAGGCCCCATGACTGGACCCAAAAAAAAAAAAAGATGAGGGCAAAGGAATCAAATACAGTGAAAACAGGAGTTATAACATGGGGAAAGAACATACAAAAGAAACAAAAAAATCACATAGTACATTAAAAACAACAGCATCAACCAAGATAAAACGTGTTGTGTCCCTATCTTGGGGTTCATCTTATATGGTCATATGTACATAGGTTTTGACCTTTTCTGCTTGAAGCTAGACATTTTCTTATACCAAGTTTATAAGACTCTCTCCATTCTCTAACTTAGAGATTGGCCCTGATTTAATATCACTTTTCATGGTATAACTTCTAATAAATAATTCTCTCAAAAAACAGTAATCATTTGTGTACCTGCAGAAACATTTATATGTTTTGAGACCCATGATTTAGTCAGAAATTTTGTCTTATGGAGACCATTATTGAAACAGCTCATACCATTTTGTGGAGAGATTGACCCAAGTACAAACTTCACTAAAAAATGCTTGATAAAGATCTGAGTCTCTAGGGCAGAAGGATCTGAGAAGCCCTTTGCTGTTATTGCAGAGTTGTTCATATGTGACAACAAACTCAACAAATCCAGCATTGTTTTGTGGATACAGTATGATGGGTAGGCATTACTTCACATATGGTTTAGTATACACACTAATCCAGTAATCATACATATTGTGATTTCTACTGGTACAGAAAATTTTGTTACAATATTATGAAGTTAGATGTTTGTCCAGTTTAGATTAGATCTGAACCAATATTAGAAGTGAGATCCAAAACATGATTATATTAGCTAGAGGAAAGGAAAGATAGGCCTTTTCAATAACATTTCAGATAGAAAAAAGATACCCAAGTAGTTATCTAATTATCTTTTTAAGTCCTTGTTGTCCAAATTCTACACTTGTGTTCTTTCTTGAATTCTTTACTACAGACAACCTGTCTGTTTTCTGAAAATGTTTTTCTTGGGGACACTGATGACTTTCACAATTCAAATATAATAAGCACAGCTTATATGAATGATTAACACTATTTAGCACAATTGTCTTCCTTAATGTTTTTTCTGTACTTGACATCTTGACTTTTTATATAATGACTTTTTATATTGCCCAGCCTACTGGTTTTTATTCTTTATTTCCTTCCTTTGCTCTCCTTCAGCTTCTTTTGCACTTAATATTGGACCTTCCATTACTCTATCCTTGTTTCCATTCTGTTCTGTGTGCATCCATACTTACAGCTTTAGTATACTCTCTAAGCCACCTCCCAAATTTAAGTTTCCAGTCCTGATTTCGTGTGTGTGTGTGTGTGTGTGTGTGTGTGTGTGAGTGAGTGATAGCTAATGCATATCTTCAATATAGTATGTCCCAAATTGAATTCTTTATCTTATTTTCTAATCTGCATTTTCTTTAGTTCAACAAATAATGTTTTCATCTTCTAATTGTACAAGCCAAAATCTTGGCATTATACTTTGTATTCCATTTCAGTATCTACACTCTAGCTATTATAAAACCCCACCATCTGCTACTTCAGATTATATCCCAGATCTGGCTACCCACCTGCCCTTACTACTACTACCCAAGGACAATTTTCAGTTCTTTTACCTGGTTATTTCAGTAGCTCTATTTGGTCTTTGGTTTTTCTTGTACTAGTTCTCCTTTTCTGTCACTCCCTCAGTTCAAATGTCTGTTTTCTGCACCATGACCAGAGTAATAATTTTAAGGTGAAAACCATAGCAATGTCTTTTTTCAGAACTGTGTCTCTTATGGATGGAAAGCTATAAGTCTAATATTGGCTCTGAAGTTTGCATTGATCTGGGTCTTGTAAAGCTTTATAGATTCACATCTTTCCTTCTTGACCACTCTACTCCAGCTCCTCTATCCTGGTGGCTGTTCTTCAAGTGCTCTTAGCTTATTCCTTCCCCTGTGCACTGTACCTGCTATTCCTTCTTCTCTAATATTCCTTGAGCTATCCTTATCCCTTTCTTTTCATGCCTTACTTTTTGTGTTTTACTCAAATATTGCCTTTTCTCTGAAACTCTCTAGTGAATCTATTTAAAATAGAATACCTCACTTTTATGTTTTTTTGTTTTAGTTTTTTGTGCCAGTCTTGGGGCATTCACTCCAGGTATGACCACTATCTTTGAGCTTTTATACACAAGGTCAGCACTCTACTACTGCAACTCTACCTAGGGCTGCTTGGTGATTAACTGAAGATAAGACTCTCATATGCTGTTCTGCTTGGGTTGACTTTGAACCACAATTCTCTGCTCTCAGTTTCCTGAGTAGTCAGGATTATAGGTATGAGCCACCAGCATCCAGAAGCTTGCCTTTCTACTTGTTTTTTTTCCCCCTTTGGCACTATTAATTCTGTGTATTATTTCATATATTTTGCTATTTGTCTCCTAATCATAATATAAATTTCACAAGAACAGTGATACTTATATTGCTTATTGCTGAATCTTCAGAAAATAGGAAAATTTATGTCTCATGGTATGTAATTCACGAAGCATTTGATAAACAAATGGGGGTGTTGGAAATGTTGCTCAGGTGGTAGAGTGCCAGCCAATGAGCAAAAGCATCAAATACCTAGTTAAATTCCAGTCTCAGAAAGAAAGAGAGGGAGGGGAAAGAAGGAAAAAAGGAGGAAGGAGCTGGGTGCTGGTGGCTCAAGCCTGTAATACTAACTAATCAGGAGGCTGAGATCTGAAGATGATGATTCAAAGCCAGCCCGGGCAGGAAAAGCCATGAAACTCTTATTTCCAATAAACCACCAGAAAACCAGAAGTGGTACTGTGGTTCAGGTGGTAGAGCCCTAGTCTTGAGCTGAAAAGCTGAAGGACAGCGCCTAGGCCCAGAGTTCAAGCCCCATGACTAGCCAAAAAATAAAAATAAAAATGAGGAAGGAAGAAAGCAAAGAAGGAAAGGAGAGAGGGAGCAAGGAAGTGAAGGAGGAAGGAAGAAGGAAGGAAGGAAGGAAGGGAGGGAGGGAGGGAAGGAGGGAGGGAGGAGGGAAGGAAGAAGGAAGGAAGGAAGGAAAGAAGGAAGGAAGGAAGGAAAGAAGGAAGGAAGGAAGGAAGGAAAGTAGGAAGGAAGGAAGGAAGGAGGGAAGGAAGGAGTGAAACTTTAAGGTTACTCATTGATTGAATATGTAGTTAAGTAAATAGAAACAAAGAGTATGTGGTTGAAATAAAAAGAGAATTATAAAATCTTATAAGACAAGATAATGTTATTGAAAGTTGCCAGAAAGTAGAGTGTGCATTTGGCTGTAATAAGAACTTTATCCTGATGATCAGAGCCCTGTATAGTTTGTAGTAGTAGAGGATGTCAGGACTTTTTTTTACATTTTGAAAATAGAGCTCCTGCTGCTAGGTAGAGTACCCCATCAGGAGACTTGCTTTTTACTAAGTACTTCATGGTTTCACACAGGAGCACACTGTGACAAGCCCCTGCTGGCAAGGAGCATTCTAGTGAGGTAGAGCCATAAACAATTAAGAAGGAGAGTAATTATTTATTTAAGGGGCAGAGTTGATATAGGGACAGCTTTAGTGTGTGGAGATTTTACAGAAGATAAATAGAAACCTTGTTGATTTTTTTTTTAATTACATGTATTTTTTTTATTACATGTATTTTTGCCTATACTGGGGTTTGAACATAGGGATTTGTGCACACCAAGCAAGGAGTCTTCCTTTTGGGCCACATTTCCAGCCCTTGTTTGCTTTTGTTATTTTTCATATAGGCCTTATCCATTTGCCCAGCCAATATTAGACTGTGATTCTCTTAAGTAGGCTTCTTACATAGCTGAGATGTTATGGGTGTACTCCGTGCCTAGCTTGTTCTTTGGGATAAGGTCTCACTAACATTTTTTGCCTAGGCTTAGCCACCAACAATTGTCCTTCTGCCTTCTCTTCCCCATGAGCTGATAGTATAGGCCTAAACCCAAATACCAAGCCAGCTACTGCTTTTAACTTATATAAGTATACATGTGAGCTCCCCAACTTTTCTGTTTGGGTGGTGACACACACGGCCCTTCTTTTGGCCCATGGTTACACAAAGGCATTGCAGTTTGGGAGCAGGTACAGCAAGTATGTTCTTAATCCAAAAACTGGATCCTATCTCAACCACATATGTCCAAAGGGATGGGCAAACAGATGAGTATGAATAGCCATGATTGGTTTCCATTTGAGTTGAAAACCAGCAGGTTGAAGGATAGCAAAGCAGAGTTAGACATTTTTTATAGTCTCAAGTGAGAAATTTTAGAATATAAATCTTCAGTGAATACCTTGATTTAAAGTATTATTTTTAGTATTTTTAAATTTGCTTAATAGCACATGGAGCTTTGAGTTGTATGTAAATATCATATAAAGTTGTATTTGCTTATTTAAAACATTTAATACTGTGCTGAGCAAAATCACTTTATGTGAATGTAATTGGCTATTTGCTTTACATGTGATATACATTTTTTTTCCTGTTTTCTTTACATTTAGTCGTTTTGGAACACCTGAAGAGCTAAAAGAACTTATTGACACAGCCCATTCAATGGGTATTGTAGTCCTCTTAGATATGGTACACAGCCATGCTTCAAAAAATTCAGAAGATGGATTGAATATGTTTGATGGGACGGATTCCTGTTACTTTCATTCAGGACCTAGAGGAACCCACAAACTTTGGGATAGCAGATTGTTTATCTACTCCAGGTAGGAATGTACACAACAGAAAGTTTCTGTACTTATTTATTTGTATATAAGTCTGCTTAAATGACTTTAATTAAATTCACTGTATGTATATCCTTGCTATTAGTATTTAACATTCTCAATTTTTTTTAAATTATATGTGCACTTGTGGTTTCCATTGGACAATTCCTTTCTCTCTCTCTCTTCCTCTCCCTTCCCTCCCCCCTCTCTTTTGCTGGCCCTGGGGCTTGAACTTAGGGCTTAGTCTCTGTCCCTGAGGCTCTCTGTGCTCAAGGATAGCTCTCTACCACTTGAGCCACAGTGCCACTTCTGGCTTTTTTCATTTTGCTTACCACTTGAGCCACAGTGCCACTTCCGGCTTTTTTCATTTTGCTTATGTGGTGCTGAGGAATTGAACCCAGGGCCTCAGGCATGCAAGGCAAGCGCTCTACCACTGAGCCATCTTCCCAGCCCCTCTATTTTTAATTATTATATTTAAGTAGTTGTTCATAGGAGTTTGCCATTTAACAAAAGCTTATGAATATAATGCATCATGATCAATGTCACCCCTTTCAACAGTTTCACCCATCCCTCCTAACACCCCTCCCTTCACTTTTCTTAAATTTGTAGGATATGCATTGAATTCTTGACTGTATATCCCCTCTTTTCTTCTATTCTTCTGCCCTTTTTTCTGTGACACCCCCTGCCCCAACTCACCCCTTTTACGTGCCTGTTTTCTGGTATTCATTCTGTTGAACTTTGATTTTGCCTTTTTAAGGAATTACTCTATTGGAGTTTTCCCTTGACTCTACCATAATTCAATTAATACGTACATGAACATACACACACAGACACACACACACACACATGCTACCTAATGTATTTAGTTATTGGTTTGTAAGTTAATTCTAGCTTCTACATATGAGAGAAAACATGCAACCTTTCTCTCTCTGGGCATGGCTTAGTTCACTTAACATAATGGTTTTCAAGTCTTTCTATTTCATTACAACTGGTACAACATCATTTTTTTCTAATGGTTGATTGAAATGCCATTGTATATGTACATTTTCTTTTTCTATTATAAAGTGATATACAGAAGGGTTACAGTTACATATGTAAGGTAAGTACATTTCTTTTTGAACAGTGTTATCCACTCCCTCATTTTCTGCCACTTTGCCCATCCCCTCCCCCACTCCTCTCTCCACTGAGCAGTAAAGTCCATTTCCAACTTAGTGTCTAGTGAGGTCCCATCTTTTCTGTGATTTCCTTTCCCTTCCACAAATCAGATAAACTTACTTACAAGACAAAAGAGCATAAACCAAGGGAAAAAAGAAGAAGAAGAGAAAGAAATAACTGCAAATGGTACATTAAAAAAAACCTGTTGTTTTCATTTCTTGGAATTCATTTTGATAAGCTTCATTTAATATGGTCATATGCACTTAGGTATTGAGCTATTGTATTCCTCTGCTACAAATATCATAGAAATATGCTAGTTGTTACTTTTAGTCTTTTGAGTTTCTTTAAGTCTTGCTTGCTTCATTTAATACATATTTTTTCAAGTCTTTCCATTTCTTTACGAATGCAGCAATGTCATTCTTTCTGATAGAAGCATAGAATTCCATTGTGTAATATATACTTCATTATCTTGATCCATTTATCCATTGAGGAGCATCTGGGATGATTCTACCAAAAACCAGGTTACAACTATTCACTAAAGCCCAAGTATGGAATTAGCATAACTTTATAGCACGCAATGTTATTTTTTTACGAATTGTATATCATTCATAATATACTATTTTGCCATCCAAGTGCTTTAATCATTATCATGTTTTATATCTAAAACACTAATTTATCACTTCCATTTAATCGTAGGAAAAAATCCAAATTGTTGTTAGCCGGACATTTTAGAAGATTACACTGATTGTTTTTAATAATGCTATAACCCTGATTGAAATTAATTTATGAATTCTAATAACTAGTCAATAATTGATTAATAAATTAACAATAAATAATAATTATCAATAATACTAATAGTACATTTTTATTTGTATGTACTCTATATCTTTTTTAAACTAAGGATCTTTTTTCCATTTTAAAGTTTCATTTTTCAGTTGGTCCAGGCTAGCCTCCAACTCATTATATAATCCATGTTGTAAGGTTTATTATTGAGATGGTTAAAGATTAAACACACCTCTGTTCTCTTTGACCATCTAAATTCAGGGATGTTTTACCTGATTAAATTTAAATTTCAAAATGTAATACACATTCAAAAGCAAACCATCAGAAAAGGTACAAGTAATGTTTATCTGAAGTGAAAATACATCATCATTCATCTTTAAGCTTGTAAAACATCAAATACCTAATGTACATATTAGACATTTTAATCTGAAAATCTGAAGCCTAAAATACTTCATAAAATTAGCCATTTTGAGTCTGAGAATGAGGAGAAGTGGAAATGTCCATTCTCCTCCTCCTGATGGAACACATTAGAAACATAGGCATCCTAAAAATATTTTGTAAGATTAGCTTCCTGCTGCATAGGAACATAAAGGAATTCTGTGTATGTGTGTGTGTGAGTGTGTGTGTGTTAGAGAGAGAGAGAGAGTGAGAAAAAGAGAGAGAGAGAGAAAGAGCGACAAAGAAAGAGAGAAAGAGAAAGAGAGAAAGAGAGAGTATCCTGGGGTTGTACTCAGAGCCTGGGCACTGTCCCTGAGCTTTCTGGCTTAGGGCTAGTGCTCTGCCACTTGAACCATAGCTCCATTTCTGGCTTTTTGGTGGTTATTTGAGATGAGTCTCATCAACTTTCCTGTACAGGATAGCTTCGAACCTTGATCCTCAGATCTCAGCCCCCCTGTAGCTAGGATTACAGGTGTGAGACAGTAGTGCCTGGATTAACATAAAGGATTTTAGTTTTTTGATTTGAGTTAGATCCTTGAAGAGCTCATTTTTTTATATACAAATTTACCAGACTCCAAAAACAGCATGCTGTGGTTGTAAGCATATTGGTATAGGACGCTCAAATTGTGTAAGTAATACTTTTACAATTAATTTATTTGAAATAATTTGATAATTTTCTTTCACATTTTCCCTTATATGCATACATGTACCCGTGACAGCAAAGTGTAGAAAATGTTCCAGAAAATATTTTTAGAAAACTAAGAATTTTTCAACATAAATTTAGATATTGTATCCATTAAAGACATTGTTTTGCTACACTCTTTTCTTAATGGCATGTATTACTTCATATATATTTTGGGGGTGGGTGGGTAGAGTCACTCTTGTTAGATAAAGAAACACAATAGATGATAAAAAGGTAGAGTTGGCCTGGTTCCAGACCTGACTTGACTCTGGTACAAATCCATTCATCATTCTTGTTCTCATGCTTTTTATTAATAGAGGATGCAGAGTGTGGGAGTCAGTACCATGCCCTCTTTGAAGGTGTTTTGTATTTGTGTCATTTTTTTGAATACTGCTTTATATGCTATGAATTTATGACAGATAAATAGATCTTGTAATGTAGAATGCCCATAAAAAAACTATTTGACTTTGCACCATTTTGAATGAATTAAGATTCACTTCAACCTGAAAACTGAGAAGTATAAGTCACATGTTAAATTACAGACTTTTACATTTTATAACAATTATTCCATAGAACTACACCTTGTAAAGAAATATACTACCTAGATGGATTTTTTGATTATGAAATAATTCTTTTTAAAATAGCTTTATGATGCATTTTTCTGTACATTCAGTATTTATATTTACCCAACTTTTGAAAGAGAAAGAGATTATGTATGATTATTTTAAATTATTTATTATAAAAATTGAGAACATGTCTATTATAGGAACTGAGATAAATTCAAGAATATATTATGAATATTAAGAATATATTATGGCTTATTTCTCATTATGTTAGTAATCAACAGTGTGTCTTATAGTTTTAGATTATGATTGTTATTTTTATTATGAGCATTCAAAAAGTATATGCTCTGCCATATTGGCTTAATCTTCTGTAATGTAGTTTCTATTATTTGAAATGTTACATTTGACTAATGTCTACACTTTTCAATTTTTATATAAGTAGTTTTGTGTTTTGCCCCAAATTATGACACTGTTAACATATAGAAAATAAGTGTACAGATTGAACTTGTACAGCCCTATTCCACAAATAATTCCATAATAATTAAATTTTACAGTATAAGATATATCAGTAGTGTTGGAATTCTTTCAATTTTTGTCTCATTACTCATGTACAAATTTATTAAAGATTTACTTATGAAATTTGTATTAGATTGAGAAAGTGTCTTTTCTTTTACATTTAGCTCCAAGTTTTTTTTGCAATGGCACATGTAATTTAACACTGATTCATTGTATGCTGAAATTGTTTTTATAGTCTTGGCATTCATGATTAAAGTCCTATTCTGCTCTTTTGTTTATAGCAAGTCTTTGTTCTAATTCATAATTGGGGCATACTTCAATAAGTTGTTTCATTTATTTTTTCTTCTGCTTTTTGTGTCACTGAGTTGACATAATTAGGAGTAGAAGAATCACAAAACTGATATTTAGTGCTGACTGTCAGCTAGGAGTGCAGCCCTGACATTAAGAGCAAGGAATTCAGTTCCTCTCTCAGAAGCACAATCCAGATATGACTTGAGCCTTCCTGAAGGATGGAATCTCAAAAACTGTATTTGCAGAATAGCATTTCACATGGTCTGGATCTGACAGATGATTTAACTATCAATCAATCACAGAGTGAGGGAACAGCAACCTTGTTTTTCAATAGGAAGAACATGAAGGAACTTTTAATCTATATATTCAAATTTCCATACTTAAATTTATCAAAGATAATTAATAGTGTATTCAAAAATTCAGAAGGTTTATTATTTATTTATTTCAGCCATATTTGTTGCATAGAGTTAAATCTGAAATAAGTCATTTTTAAGTATACTTTGTATCATAAACGTAGTAATATCCACAAAGGTAGTTAGAAAGGGCTACATGCAGACAAAATCCAATGCAAATTT